CCTTAATATTAAACCTTTAGCGCTTTACTTACTATAGAAAGACCCCCTTTAGGGCTTTAAGGTACTGATTAGCCTAATTAATAGGCGCAATAATAATGTTAGCTAGGGCTAGCCTAGCTAAGAGGTTATTAAGGTTAGCGTTAAAAGCCTTTAAAGACCCTTAATAGCCCTTGAAATTCAGGCTATAAAATTCAGAGTATAGGTGCCCCCTCTAAATCTTAGCACTATAGGAGTATTGCTTAGTAAGTAATTTATAGGCCTCTATAGGGTCCGACTACTACGTTATAGCGGCTTTAGGTCCCTTAGTATAGCTATCCCTTAGAAGCATAAGGATAATAGCTTAATTAGGGTCTAATAGACCCTATACTATAGAAGGGTCTTCTATAAATTAAGGTATTCCGAGTGCCCTAAATTAGATTGCTAGGGCCTGCCTCTATTAATCGAAATTCGAAGGCCCTTGTAATTTAGAACCCTTAGGGAACGAATAGACCCGTTTAGTTAGGTCTTTAATTATAGCGTTATTAAACGCTATTGCTAGTGTTTTAGGGGTCTTAGGGCCTTAAGTACCCTGTGCGATAGGGCCTTAGGGAGCTAAGGGGCCCTAAGGCGGGGCACCTTAAGAGCCCTAAGGCATTAATCCTTTAGGGGCTCTAGGCGCTATAGTCGCTATTATTAAAGGGCCCTAAAGCCTATTAACGGCCTCTATTAGGGCTAATATATAGTATTTAACGGAGGCTTAGAGCCCTAAAAAGCCCTACTATAATTAGCTAATTAACGCGTGTTATGCCCTGAGTTATTATTTGATCTATTCGGCTGTGGGCGGTGTAGGGTAGGTCGGATCAGAGGTATAAGATATAGTCGAGTCTTAAGGGAAGGGCTGTGCCTAGCCTTAGCTAGTAGGGCCCTAATCTTCCGTGTATAAAGACATAGCCTATAGGGTAGGCTAAAGGCAGGTGTTTTCCTTAGTAAGGAGGGTGCTGCCGTGGGAAAGACTGCTCTAGGGTAGGCAGGTCCTTATCTCGAGGTCTTAGTAAGAAATCGAGGAATAAGGTTACTTTCTAGTTAGTACCTTAGAAGGAAGTCGCGTGACCTTATAGGGTAAGTAAATCGAAGTTCGATAAACTTAGCGTTCTTCCGTGTAATCGAGTCAATTAATAATCGAGTAACTAAAAGTGCCGAAAAAAGCTTAATAAGCTCTAATAACCGGGGAAAAAGTTTTTCCGTAGATCGATTCATCGGATTAGTAATCCGGGCTTATAACTTATTAAAGAGTAATACTCTTCTAGGCGCAGGGTAAGTGAATCGCGATAATCCGGGAATCCCTTTAGTAAAGGAAGAAAGCGACTAATTTAGTAATCTTCTCTTTAGGGTAGGTAAGATATAAGTGAAGAACTTAGTAAATAAATAACTTAATTTAGAACTATCTAGTAGTGAACGAAGGCCTATATTTATAAGCGTGAGGGCGCTATAATGCCTTGTAAAAGAGTAAGTTAAACTAAACCTAGTAGAAGGTTATTGAAGGTTTGATTTATAATAGCGAGTGTGGTAGTGCTAGCCTTCGAATATTATAGAAGGTAATAGAAGTACTAGATTTATAATCGCTATGGACCCCTATAATAGGTCTTAAATAAATCCCTATAAGGGTTCTGTGAGAGGGCCTCGTAAGGCACCTAATTAGGGGATTAGTCCCCTATTTTTAACATTTTTTAATTATAATACCTCGATATTTATAAGCGTACGAATTCGAGTTATTTCTTTATATATTTATATAATAAGTATAATTAATCGGCCTTAAGTATTACTTTCTTAATAAAAGGTCTATCCTTTAGTATTTTATTACCGAACTTAAGCTTATATTTATAGTTCGTATAAGATAATAAAATCTTAATTAATTCTATAGGTATACTATTATAAGCGAGTTAAGCGAGTAATAACTTTAAGACCTAATTATCTTACTTATAGTTAATATAGTACTATAGGTATTATTCTAATATCTAATTTAATTTTTCTATTTATTTATTTATTTGAGGGTAATAAGCTATACTAAGCTTATACTCTATTCTAAGTTAAGTTATTAAGGCTTACTAGAACTTCGAGGTAAATATTATCCCTTAATTTAAAATAATTTCTTTTAAGAGGCCGTGGTTAATTACGATATATTTAAGTACTATATATATAAGTATCTTTATATTTATTATTTCTTAATATAATAAGAAATATCTAAATTTATTTATTTAGTCCGTAATAATAAATATATTATTATATTTAATATTAGATCTTAATTCTTTAGATTTAGGTAATTTTATAATATAATCGAAAGTTATTAACTCTTATAGTCTTAAAGGTATTAATAATAGCTTTAGTTCTTTATATAGTTTATACTAAGTAGCTTTATTATATATATAATCTTCGTATTATCTAACGATATATACGATATTTATCTTAATTCCTTAATAATCGTATATTTATTATATTTATTTAAGGGTCTTTTAACTCCTTAATATCCTACCGTAAGGTATATATAAATATTAGTTAAGATTTTATCGCGTAGCGGTAATAGTATCTAAAGTAGCTTATTCTTAGTAAGTCCTTTTCTTATTTCTATCGTATAATTATTAAGTATTTCTTTTCTATACTTAAATACTTAATCTAGTATTTTATCGTAGTATATAATATCCGCTTTTATTCTAAATAAAAGAAAATTAAGTATTATTTATATATAGTTTTTATTATTATTTTATTAAAGTATCTAGCCCTTAGCTTTAGGTACTTTAATAATATAGTTTAGTCGGCGGCTAAGTATATTTATTTTATTATTCTCCGATTCCGATAAATAATTTTAATATCGTATTCGGCTAGAAATTTAATATATTATACTTATCGTAAGCTAAGTTCTTATATCGTAGCGAAGTAAGAGATATTTTAGTAATTAATATAAACCTTAATCTTAAACTTTATTCTTAGTATATAATACTTAAATTCTTTAATAGCCGCGATAATTACTAAGAATTCCTTATCGTAGATAAGGTAGTTTAATTCTATATTATAAGGTTCTTTTAAAAAAAAAAGTAATTAATTATAGATTATTATTATTATCTTATTAGCTAATCTACGCTCTTATAGCGTAGTCCGATATATCGGTTTCTAGTTTAAGTAGCTTTTTAGGGTTATAAGTTATAAGTACGGTATTAAATATTATATTATCTTATAATATTTCGAAAGCTTTTTTTTATTCTTTTTTAAAATAAAACTCTTTTTTACCCTTTATAAGTTTTATAAATAATATTATAATTTTTATAAAGTCGCGTATAAAGCGGCGATAATAATTCACGATTCTTACGAATATTTATATTTTTTAAGATTATTTTTTAATTCTAGCTAATCCTTAACTATATTAATTTTTACTTATTCTATTAGTATTTCGTTTAATTAGATTATATATATAAAGAATATAGTTTCTTATTTATAAAATATATATTTCTTTAGGTTAATTAAGAAATTTATATCTTAAAGTATTTTTAATACTTAATAGATATATTTCTTATATTCCTTAAGGTTCTCTAAGAAGATTAGAATATTATCTAAGTATATTATAACGAAGATATTTAAGTACTCCCGGAGTATATTATTATAATATACTATAGAGAAAGTTATTTAAGTACCTTATATTATTATAAAAGAGATAGCTATTAAGGCTCTATTTATATATTCTTAATTATATAATCTTATCCCCTTAGAGCTTTTTCTTTAATTTTCTATATTCTAGGTTATTTACCTTTAGTTTAATTAATTTCGGGTTCTTACCCTTCTAGTATTACCTTTCACCGCTAACGGTAGAATCCTGTTACGACCCAATATGCGGCCACTGACGTATGTCACGTGGGCCCCACAATTTCGTCGTACGAACCCATTCATATTCTTTATGTAGTAAAGTATAAAGCGGTATGCCGGCCGCCTGAACAAGCGACATTCGTACGAATGTCGTTCGCACGAATGCCGGTCGCACGAATCCCATTCGTACGACTAAGGCCCCACTATTTCACACCAATCACTTTAGATTATCTACAAAACACTATGATCCGGATCATCGCACTCATCTCATGAGCCTCATGATCCACGGGTATTATTTGCTTCACACAATAATCCCCTTAGTATATAGGAAGCCTAGCTTCACTATAGTCAGTCTCTACCAGCTCCTCAGCTATCAATACAATTATCTACGCAAGATCTACTATCTCGCACATAGACTGTGACCCGACCGCTTAAGTTAACGACATCCTAGTGTACTTAGTTCATAAACCGACCTCAAATCTACCTACCCTATAGTTAGTCTGACCCGAACGTCACAAATCCTAATCGAGCCTAGCCCCGCTATAAGGTAGGCTTATTAGGGGAACCCGAGCCCCGGGAGACGAGCACACTAGAACACTATCCTAATCAAGGCGAATAATCCTAACTAACAGGAGGTGCGCGGAGGAGCACTCGGAAGCGAAAGCCCAGGCTCCTATTCGAACAAGTGCATACCGTGATCTCGAACAACGTCGGAGATGCTAGGAAGGAATTGCCTAAGCCACTCCAGGCGCTCGACTACGAGAAAACGCGCTGCCTGTCGTTCACCTCCGGTTTAACTAATTTCGGGTTCTCACCCTTCCGGTGTCACCTTTCACCGCTAACGGCAGAATCCCAATCGAGCCTAGCCCCGCTATAAGGTGGGCCCATCATCACATATCACTAGATATGCTTTGGTCTTATAAATTGTGGCGTTTTTAGCGTGAGCAAGGACTTTTGGCCCTGCCTCCGTAGCCTGCCGTCTTTTCCGCCGCGCTAGGCCGTATGCGCGTAGCTGACGTAGATAAGACCAACCCCGTGCAAGGATTCCTCACCGCTCAGAGCTGACACCAGCCGGTTATAAGGAGAGGAAAGCTTTATTCTTTCGGGCTCATTTTTGCACACCTCACCACCACTAGACCACAATAGAGATAATCTTACATCCTGCCAGCATGTCCAGCCTTCTCAACAAGCTTACCGAGCAGATGGCCAAGCCATCCTCCTCGCAACAGTCGTCGATGCCAAACATCGCCCATAAGATCACCGATACTATCACAGGCCAGAAGCATCCTGGGGACCAAACTAGCTCTAGCAACCCTTTAACCAAACTCGGAGGCCTCTCGAACTTCGGCAACAAGAAGAGCGGCTACCAGGAGCACGGTGGATATTCTGGCCTCGGTGGATATCAGGCACACGGTGACAACCAGGAAAACGGTGGCAACCAGGGACATGGCAGCAACCAGGGACATGGTGGACACCAGGGATACGGTGGCTACCAGGGATATGGCGGCAACCAGGGACACGGTGGCCACCAGGGATACGGTGGCTACCAGGGACACGGCGGCAACCAGGGACATGGTGGACATTAGGCTAGGACATGATTGGTTGATTGATTCATAGTCTGTCCCAGCCGCTCTCAGGCAGCTATGCAGTGTACGACTACAAGTGTGGACGTTCTCGTTCCTCACATCCCGGCGCGTCATATGCCAATCTTCCTGTTGGCAACAGGTCATCCGTGCATACTGAAACCCCATCGAAGCTCGAAGCGGTTGCATCATAATGACAATCCTAATAACTGTTCTGTGTCTATGTACTTGTCAAGCCCTTCCCGGCCCTCCTTTGCTTCTGTATAACCAAAAATCACTCGTCCGCGCCGTGTATTTAAGTACCGTGGATAGTTCGCGTCAATAACTGTTGGTTGTTGGCCGTCGCGGGACCTCCGACCGGTTGGTTGAGCCGCGCTGTGCAGCCTAACACATAGCGAGATGAAATTTTGTGATCCGTCATGTGAGGGTCAGCCACAGCACCCAGAGTCGTCCTTGCCATCACGAAAGACAACGTCGACGCGCGGCCGACTCTCTTCGCCACCTACCACACATCGACCAGCCCAGGCGATTGCGGGATTTGGCAGGTAGCACGAGCCACCTCAGCGGCTACGACCTTCTGCAAGCCGATCCGCGTGGGGTGGGATGGCGTCGAATTTATCGACGCTGGTTTCGGACATAATAACCCGTGCGAGGTTCTTATTGACGAGGCGACACGACGTTTCCCGGGACGCGGGCAGCTGCAGATCCTCAAGCGTTGGGACAGGACTCGGTGCGGCATGTACTCGCAGGAGCATAAGTGGCCGACGGACGGCGGAAGGAGGCCGTCACTCTACTTGACCATGTGTTAGCGGTCCACAAGACAGCGCTGGACGAGCCACGCCCACATCGACTGGCGTCGCGCTCGCAAGTCGCTTGGGGTTTCTCGGTGTTTGGTGGTGCAACAGACGAAGGCCCTCGAAAAGAAATAACCGAAACTCGGTGGGACTGTGAAGGGCTGGACCCTCGTTGGAACAACGTAAAAGTGGCCTCAATTAGGTCTCTCTATAGCTAAGGAGAAAGGAAGGAAAAGTCTGCTATCTAGGGGAGCAGCAAGGTCCTCTTGTAGTCGCTGCGGGTCCGCAGGTTGGTTAACTAGGCAACGGTCCAGGTAACAACAATCCGATCGGCAAGGCTTATATGTGTGTGCCGTAGCCGGGAGGCTCTTGGGTCTTGACCCGTGACACTTACCGTCGGAAGATCCGCTGCCTCTGATGGTTGAGGCCATTAGAGCGCATGACAGTTGTGGCTTGTAGCCGCAACGCCACACGCTGTGCCACAAGCTGCAGCCGCTGCAGCCGTAGGCTGCTACAACGTGATAGGGCCCTAGGAACTAGGTTCCTAGGCCTTTCAAACTTAACAGGTTCTATCCGTACATTGCATAGGGTCTGAGCTTTCCAACAGAATCCTGTCTATCCGCTCCTGTTACAGACCTTTCCTCGCCTTACTTTTGTCACCTCCGATCCCCCCTTTGATTCGTTGTTTCTATTTCTGGCTCTCCTTACGCAACATCGTCATACGTCATCAGACCTTAAACACGCAGCCGCCCACGAAATCCTGCTGTACCCCCTCCCGTATATGACTTATTTTGTTAGCCCGTTCCGCACATTGACTGCTGAGAAGCGAATGTGCCGTCCGCAATGCTCTGTGTGGCACGACGTTCGGGGACTGTCACGGTGTGATGTCGAGTTGGGTGGTCACGTGGAGCACGTGCGCACGAACGCACCAACACATATTAGATGACTTCGTAGACCACACCTGAGGTTTCCTTCCTCACGGCACAACACACATATTACCTTGCCACTTGCGGTGCCATCCTGTGACAGGGACATTCCAGAGCCGACTGCAAGCCTTTGCGTTTGCGAGAAAAGCTGAAGGGGCTCCTCTAACCAACATGCCTACATGCCTCACTCTCTTCGCGTAACCTCAAGGTCAGGGAAGCTGTCGAAGCGGGTGTCATTGTCAAACTTCATCTATACTCATGTCAGGGGTCTCCACAGCCTTGCAGACGAAGGAACCCACGTGACGCCCTCGAAGGTATAAGAGGGATGTTTTCGTTCGCACAGCCTGATCTTGGAACCTTAGAGATTAATAACGTCTTCATTGTGACCTATCTGCTACCCTTCAGCTATCTTCTGGCTATCTGTAACGGCTCCTTTCACTCTTCTCTTGTGACTACCCATTTCTTCTGACAACTTAATGAAGGCTAAAACAGCAACTTTCCTTGCAGTCATCTACACACCCGATTAGGCATTCGTCCTTGTCTAATCCCTCTACTTGGCGCGCTGACTGAGAACCGTCGAGGCTTGTCGATGCCTGCGCCTGGTCTGCATGGTCATGTTCATCGTTCAAGCAAAACTCAGGCTGAATAGTCGCGCTGTGTATTCCATATCCATGTAGACACTCTCGCACCGCCTTTGCTAGTGTCATATATCTCCCAGCAACCCCATCTTGCTCAATAGGGAAATCAAGTTGAATGTGAAGGGACGCAACTGGTTGGGCCTCGCTCAACTGCCATAGGTGGACATGGTGACAGTTGATAACGCCTGGAATCTTTTGAACGCCATCCTTGATATCGTTAATATCAAGGTGATCTGGTGTACCTTGCAGAAGTATCTTGGCACTGGCGGTCGTCAAAGGAATGGTCGTCTTCAAGATGATGACTGCGATGAATAGGGACACGGCAGGATCGGCGTAGAACCGGCCAGACCATGGAGTAAGCCAGATAATAAGTGCCGATATAATCACGCCAACATTGCCGAGAGCATCGCCGATGACGTGTAAAATCATCGCTCTGGTGCCCATATCGGTGTCGCTAGTGGCCATCTTCACAGGCTTGCTCTGTTTATGGATTGTATGGGGAGATATCGTCTGAGGCTCTCCGGTGCCACGAGTTCGGCTATGCGTTTTAGGGTCCTTCCGGGTGGCGCTGCAACTTTTGCTGTGCAGAAGTGAAGAAGTCTCGGAAGGTACTTCCGTGACATCGTCTCCGAAGCCGTTGATCATAGTTGTAGTCTCAGCTGCAACTATAGTAGGCTTGCTGGCGCTGATGATACCTTGCCTAAAGCTTCCAGGGTACATGCTCCCATCTACGATATCTCCGAGTCTGCTGCTTCGTCGTCGTGTATTCGGGTGCGCATCGGTTTCGCTTGGGGAACTGTTCTGGACCTGTGCACGTAGAGCCGGTCGTGTCCGATCTAGAAGAGGTTAGGTGTTAGTAATTAACTGTTTGAGACCGCTGCTTTTGTATAGCTTGCCTGAGGACTCTGACTCAACGGCGCCAGCACTACCGCGCTGTCCTTCCTCCACAGTGCGGACGTCGTTGACAGGGTGACCGTGCTCTGTTTGCGCATGGGAATGCCCTCCCAATACAAAGAACCCTGCAAGATTTGAAGCCAGTCCCACCGAGCCAACGATAAGGATGAGTTTGGAGTTGCCAATCTCCGGAGGATCGAGGAGACGGGTGATTGCTTCGAGGATGATGGAGAAACACAGGGCAATGAGGAACACAGCATTGAAGAAGGCGCCCAGGATCTCTGCTCTTAGCCACTTTGGAGATAGGTTAGCATACATCTCCGATATATATCTAACACACCTCGTACATACCCCGAAAGAGAATCTATCGGATCGTGGTTTTCGAGCGGCTTTCACAGCCCACAGGCCAACAAGGAGGGAGATGATGTCGTTGAGCTGGGGCTCTGTCAGTATGGCGCGGGCTCTTAACATACTTTGTGGCGTCTCATCGTACCATATGGAAGGCATCTGCCATAAGAGCCAACGAGCCTAGAGCCATTCCAACAACAAGCTCCAACAGGAAGAAAGTGGTATCTATCACCAGCATGATGGTAATTCGTTTAGATTTCGACCACGCCATTGTTGCGTGACAACCTTGGAGGCGTTGATGGTAAAATGAACGAATCTTTGACGTGCCAATGCAAGAATGTTTGTTGGGAGATGAGCGAAGATGGCAAGGAGAGGAGAGCAGTGGTTGTCAGAAAAGGGGCTGATGTTTGGCGCGGTGTACGTGGCAAGGTGAGGGAGGTGCTAGTGCGGGAAAGCTTCCGAGCCGAATATACTCCCCTTGTGTCTCCAACAGGCCTCGATGACTCGGAGTATGTCTACTCTGGAGAGTCTCATTGATTGCTGCAGATTCTTGTGCCAATCATCACTGTTTGACTTCAGGACGTTGAGCCAATGAGAACGCGCCACTAAACCAAGTCTGCCTCAGCAGCAGTATGCGATACGTGGCTGCTATTCGTTTATGTGATAATAAGCCCACCTTACAGCGGGGCTAGGCTCGATTAGGATTCGGCCGTTAAGCGGTGAAAGGTGATACCGGAAGGGTAAGAACCCGAAATTAGTTAAACCGGAGGTGAACTATTACGACCTAACATGCGACCGTATGCGCCTCTTACGTGCCCCCCCGCTTTTTCCCTCCTATCATACGTCACCCGTATGTGTTACGACCTAATATGCGACCGTATGCGCCTCTTACGTACCCCCCCCGCTTTTTCCCTCCTATCATACGTTACCCGTATATGTTACGACCTAATATGCGACTATATACGCCTCTTACGTGCCCCCCCCCGCTTTTTCCCTCCTATTATACGTCACCCGCATGCCACGTATAGTAAACGACTATAAGCGACTAGCGACTATAGTCGACTATATTATAAAAACGCTCGTAGATAATAATCGACTATCGTCGACTATATAATATTTACTTAATATATAAGAAGCCTAGCTTTATTATAATTAGTCTTTACTAGCTCTTTAGCTATTAATATAATTATTTATATAAGATTTATTATCTTATATATAGACTATAACCTAACCACTTAAGTTAATAATATCTTAATATACTTAGTCTATAAACTAACTTTAAATTTACTTATTTTATAGCTAATCTAACCTAAATATTATATATTAATAGCTTTTATTTAGTATATTACTATATCGAGTACTTAAGTAATATAATACTATAGCTAACGAATCCTCTAAGATAACCCTTAAGTCCGTTAATAAGGGTAAGGCTATAGCTAAGTATATTAAGCTTACTTAAATAGCTTAGTTTATAGACTTAGATTTAAATAAGTCTAACGATAAGGATATAAAGATCCTTAAGGGGTAAATCTAAGAGTTATAAGGGTAATTATAATAAGTCCTTAATATATAGGCCCGCGATAAGTAATAATATAACGAAGCTTATTATTCTTTTAATAAAAGAATAACTTTATAATAATAATAAATTACTTAATTAAGAAATAAAATAAATAATATAAATAATAATATTATTTAATAAATTATTAATAAGGACTTAAGAAAGATTATAAAATTACGCTAACTAAGATTATTTAATAATATTATTAAAGACTTTTAAGGGTTCTTAACTTAAGTTAGGGCTTATTAATAATACTTCTTATCTATCTTTTATATAGAAAAAATAAAAGTATATTATATAATAAGATACTTATTAAAAGCCGCGCTTATATAATTTAAACTTACTCTTAAGGACTTCGTAATTAATATTTATTAATACCGAAGGTAAGAGATAAAAGATATCTTTATATATTATAATAACTTTAAAGAAATATTAAAGGTAACCTTCGGGATTATTAATAAAGAATACTTAGCTAAGAATTAGCTAGAGGTATTAAAATAAAAAGGGTTAGTATTACGGTTCTACCCGTTACTAGCGGCTAGGTACGAGACTTAGCCCGGTCGACTTAGATATATAACGCGTGCCCGTAAAGACGCACGGACTTCGTAAAGTCTTTATAAGAAAGAGGGACTATAAATTCTTTTTTTTTTTCTCTTTTCTTACTTTATCGTTAGATAGATTTAATCTAAGCTACTAAGTTATTCTAACCGGGCCTAGCTTATAATATATTTAATAATTAATCTAATAATATAGTATATTTATATAGCACGAGCTACGATATCTAACGAATAGAATTTCGAAGTACCTCCGTAAGTAACTATATAAGTCGCCGAATAGCTAAATACCTTACTCCGACCGATATAAGAGTAAATCGCCGCGCTCTTATAGCTTATTTATAATAACCTTATAATACTAGCCCTTTCTTAAGCCCCTAAATAAGATATACCCGAGTATTTTATACCCGTCCCCTCTATCGTTATTAATATAGCGCTTAATAAGGCTCCTTAGGCTAATATCCTAGCTAAGGCGCTTCTTAAGCGAAAGCCCGGCGGTTACTTTATAAAGAAGTTATTAACGAACCCCGCGAAATTCTTAGGTAATACTAAGGACTATAACCTATAGAGGGCCTAAATAAAAGATAAGCTCGAGCTAAACTAGGATTATTTTAACTTATAGCGAGAATATTAGTACTTTATTAATAATTACTTAGATATTAATATATAGCGTATCGTGCGGGCTTATTATAAAGTAAGGGAATAAGCTAACTAAGACCTTTATATATTCTTAGCTTACCTCGATCGGTATTACGCCGACTTAAATTAAGGCGCACGCGTTATAGAAACCCTATAAAACCTTAAATAAAGTAAGATATAATCTTTCGCGGCTTTCTTACTTAAGTTCGAGCGCGTTCTAGCCGAGGCTAGTAACGGCCTTTAAATTAATAGCGCCCGCCTTATATTCCTATCGGGTATAATTAATTAGCGACTCTATAATATACTTATTCTTATAGACTTCCTTAATAACTATAGCGAGTAAGTTATAAGGGTATGAGGCGTAACTTAGAAGCTCGAAAGCGCTAATAAGGGCTCGAAAATATAATTCCTTCGTAAAAAGGTTATATTAGAGACTAACCGCGCGTATATTACTTATAATAACGATAGCGATATTTAAATAAGTAATATTAATCGCTTATTATAGCGGGGTAGCCGCGCTTCCGAAGGTCGGCTATAAAAGCTTATCTTATATTAATCTTACGGCTAAGAAAGCTATATTAAGCGAGAGTATCCCTCTTATAAAATAATAAAGATTTCGTAAGATACCCGCGGTAATAATAAAAATAATAAAGAGCCTAATATTATAGCGGGAAATATATAGCCCCGAAATAAAGTTAGGTATCGGGGTTTATAAGAGCTAAGATTACTTATTAGAAAAAGTTTAAGAGTTTATTAAATAATTCTTTATTAAATATATAAGTATAAATAAATAATATTTACGCTATAAAAGCCTTAATAAACTCTAGCTATAATTATTATATAGTTATAAAGAAAAACCTTATAACGAGACTTAACCTCTTATTAATAAAAGAGTATTTTTATTTTTTAAGGGGATACTCCGAAGAAATAAAGTAAGGAAAAAATAATAAGGTTATAATATTAATAATAAAGATCTATAACTTTAAAGAAGAAGTCTTTACTTATATAGTACTAAGTCTTAGCTAAGACTTATTTCTAAGTAACTTATAAATATTATATAATAAGACTAACTATAATACTAAGAGAAAGTAACTCTAGTATAGCTATATAAGGCTAATAATTTACTTAATTAAGGAGTAAGAACCCCGTAGAGTATAAGTAATATAAGTAATAAAACTTATATTAAGGAGTATCTTTATAATAGAATACTAGCGAGTATAATAATATAAGCTAAAAGACTCGGTTATTAGCGCGATCTCGTTAAAAAATATAAAGGATATACTTATACTAAAGATACTAGTAGACCCTAGGGACTTTATACCGGCCGATATCTTATAAAATTTCCTAAAGTTATTTTTATTAAATTACGCGATAAAGCTACCCCTATACTAACTAAGCGTAGATTATAAAATATACTTAGTATAGGATAGTAATAAAAATAAAGCGCCCTTATTATAAAGATTATTTTATAAGATATCGAGAGAGGAACTCTTAATACTATAGAAGGTACTTTAAGACCTACTTAATAAGGGTTTTATATAGGCTAGTAACTCCCTCGCGTTAGTATTAATACTTTTTATAAAGAAATTAAGTAACAGAATCCGATTTTATTATAACTATTAAGTATTAAACGCGATTACGAAAAAAGATAGATACTTACTCTTATTAATCTTAGAGATACTTTATAGCTTATTTATAATAAAGTAATTTATAAAGCTCGATATAATAGTTACTTTCTATAAAATCTAGATAGCTTAGGGTTATAAGGAGAAGATAGTATTTTAAACGAGATATAAGTTATTCGAGTAAATTATATACCCGTTCGGGCTAAGTAACGCCCTTGCTATATTTTAGCGGCGAATTAATAATATTTTTTAAAAGTTTTTAAGGGACTTTATAATTATATATATCGACGATATCTTAATTTACTTAAATAAATTAAAGAGCGACTACCTTATAAAAGTATAGCGAGTACTTAAGGCGCTTATTAATATAAGGCTATTATTAAACCTTAAGAAAAGCGCGTTTATTATAAAGAAAGTAAACTACCTTAATTATATAATAAAGGCTAAGAAAGGAATATCTTATAACCTAAAGAAACTATAAGCTATACGCGAATAAGAAGCGCTTACGATAATAAAAAGAGTATAGAGTTTCTTAGGCTTTATAAATTATTATTATAGCTTTATAGACTACTTCTTTAATATAGCGATCCCGTTAATAATACTTATAAAAAAAAGGAGTTTTTCTTATTTAATTAAAAAAAAAAATATAGTATTCTTAGAATTAAAGCGTAAGCTTTACGAAGCCCCGGTCCTTTAATACTTCGATACTAAGTAAGAGACTTAGCTAAAGACTAACTTATTAAGATAAGCTATAAAAGCGACCCTAACATAATTAAACTTATAAAAGAACCGCCGCGCTATCGTATATAACTTAAAAAAGCTATCGCTAGCTAAGTATAATTATAAGATCTATAATAAAGAACTCTTAGCTATTATATATAGCTTAAGAGTATAAAGGGCGGAGCTAAGAAGCTATAAGTTTTTTATAATACTTACGGACTATAAGAACCTTATATACTTCCTTATAAAATAATAGCTTAATAAAAAATAAGTATACTAAGCTATAGAGCTTTAAGAATATAATTTCTAGTTACGCTATCGCCCGGGGTATAAAGCTATTACGCCCGACGCGCTAAGTTATTATAAATAAGATATTCCCGCGGGAGAAGATAATCTTTATATACTTAGCCGCTTCCGGGAGATATTTCTTAGAGGCTCGTTATTAAAGAACCTACTTATATAAATATTAAAGAGTATTAAAGATATTAGCCTTTTATTACTCGCGAAAGGAATTAATATCTTCTTCGCCGATAAAGCCTTAGTAAACCTCTAAGATAAAACTATTTACTAAGATAAGGTTTATTAGATAATATACTAAGTAATATTATAATAAGAGCGTTACT